GAATGATTGCTGAAAGTTGTTCTCGACCATCAGTATCATCAACAATTACCAATGCGTGTCAAGAGTCGGGAACATTTTTGCACGGTTTCAATTTTTTAAAATGCCTCATTAACTAAATGTACTTTTAATATTACTATAAATAAAAATGATGTTTAATTGTTGTTAATGACATTTGTATTGTTGCTTTGTGACATGTTTCATATTGTTGCCATGACAACATTTTTCCCTCCGTCGTAAAGAAATGGGAAAAGAAACTGCTGCCGGCGGAGACATCAAACTTTGACAGGATCAAGTTAGATAAGTAATGTCATCATTATTTGACGTTTGAAGAAAAAACATTTTATTTATAACTGTTTTAGTTTTTTAAAATTAAACACTTATGGTAAATATAATCAAGCACAAAAATTGAACTTATGTTTAAATTGTTTGGAAAAAACTAACCATGTTAGTAAAAATTGTCAATCTGGAAGCTGCAGGAAACGTGGTCGGAAACAAAACACACTGCCGTATTACACTAGTGGAGCGGCTGATAATGATGTCACTGGAATAGGTTATCAGAAAGGTATTGGTGAGCTTTCTGCTATACAGGTTTTCGAAGAAGGTGCCACTGACTCTGTTAATAATGGCAAACAATAATCAGCTGGACCATCAAAGGGTATGTCACATGGGAATGAAAAAGCTTGTTAAACTTGCCTAGGAAGTCAGTAGAACTTACTTTAGCAGAAGTTGGAAGCAAGTTCACACAAGTAATGTGTGTTCTAAATTGTGTTTTGTAATTCCAGACCGACAGAACCTGATGTTGTTTACAGTTGAATTCATTGCTTTTATTGCACTAATGTGTACTTTATATTTCTTAAGTTCTTCTATCAGGGTGATTATTGCTATCTCCTTGTAAACTCGTACATTGCATGCCGCAATATTATGCGGCATCTAACAACTAAGCATCAGAAAGAAGCTGATAAGCTGTTGGATTTCTTTGAATGAAAGTTGAAAATATGTACTAGAAGTCAGGTAAATAATAGAATAATAATGTTTTCCCAGTCTCTATGAAGTGTTGTTTAGATGCTCATTGCACTTAAGCGGTAAACTTTTTCTTCTTCTTTTTGCATTCAGCGTCTCCTGTCGAGGTTGCTGATTAACATGAATATTTGCACTTTTGAAATTGAAAATCTTAAGTTGTTTATTGTTTCGCCGCCAATTTTAATTTCCTCTTTTAGTTTCCTAAAGCTTTTCTGAAGATGACCTGTTAATATACGTTAAAAAGGCCTGAGCACGCCCTTCTTTGAATTTACTACTATCGTCGTCAAGTCTGAAACTAATGATCTACCATTTTTTATTGTTTCCCATTATTAAATATACGGTTGTTTGTTTAAATATCCCCGAACGGACATCCTGAGGTCATTCTAATCACCATTTAAAGCGGATCTCATAGATTCAAATGAACTAATTGTTATTCGAGTGTATCAAAAAAGGGGCAAGGTGTTAGGCCCATGGGCGGATTTTAATAGAATGTACATAACGAGTAGGAATTGTTATAGTCTAACACATTTGAGTTATTACAGGAATAATGGTTAACTAAGGTATTAACATAATAAAATTTTGGTAATTAAAAGGGAAATCGATGTGTTTTGAATAATAGAATAGAACAAATATGAAACTAAAAATATGAATATGAAGCTAAAATAACCAAAATAAAATAAATGGTCATTAAATACACTGCACCACTACAAAATCACATAATTTATTTATTAATAAAGTTTAATTAATAAATTACATTTCAATTGGTGTTTTAAATTAAGTACTTTCAAATACATATGTTTTTACAAAATGAATTGTTAAAATTTAGCCCAAATCGTTATGAAGCTTTGCCATAATGGCGAAAAAAATTGTTGTTTATCAGACCGGTTTTTCATTTTTTTTAGACGAATTTGACGGATTACAAATATGTAGTCGATCAATTTCGTGGTTGAATTGGTTTTCTAGTAACAGCAGATAAAGAGGAATATTTTTTGTGCATTGGATTATTTTCGTAAGCCTTAGAAATTTTTTTGGATATTATGTTTTATATTTTTTTCCTCCTAATATTGTTCTGAAACCAATTTCTTGTGGCATCTTAAAGCAAACTACTTGGAACATAAGATCACTCAACTCAAGAGACCAAAAAATAACCCAATTGTTGAAAGAGAAAGAAATAGATTTGTGCTCTACAGGAAATAAAAAAGAAAGAAAAATCTACTAATCTACATTGAAGTAGGAAATGAAAACAGGGCCAAAGAAGGGGTAGCCTTACTAATACACCAAAGGTATAAAAATCACATCAAAGAGTGTCAATACATATCAGAAAGAATAGTAACAGCAAAGATAAGAATGGAGAAGGAAGATCTGAACATCATAGGAGTATACGGCCCAGAAAATGACAAGCCTCAAACAACAAGGGAAGCGTTTTACGACCAATTAGAGTAAAGTAGTAGATCAAGTCAGAGGAAAGATGGTAATATTGGGGGATTTTAACGCTCGAATAAGCAACCAAGTAATACCCGGCATCAAACAAAAACATAACGAGAATGTTAAAAACGAAAATGGAGAATTCCTATTAGCCGGTAGAAGTTACCAACGTGAAGCAACCGGGTATTCTCCATCAATGATAATCACCGGAAGAAAATGAAGCTTCCTGGAGAATATTTATCCCTTACGTACATCGAAAATTTAAAAGAAAAATTTGGGAGATCTACAAATTTACTTGTTAAAATTTGGAAATTTACACAAAGTGATAAAGGAGTTGATATTCAAGACATACGATTCATAGAAAAGTTATACTGGCGTCAAACAGCGACAGCTTGCATAAACGGAAAATCAACAGAAATATGTAAAATTCAAAGAGGTGTCAGACAGGGTTGTATACTATCCCCACTGTTATTTAATTTATATTCAGATAGAATATTTAGAGAAGCGCTGCAGAATTTGGAATGGGGCGAGAAAGTTAATGGAATTCTGATAAATACAATCAGATATGCAGACGATACAGTTATTTTAAGTGATGATATGAATTTATTACAATACCTTTTAAATGGAGTGGGAAGAGAGTTTGGCCTAAACATAAACTGTTCAAAAACATAACACATGGTGTTTAGCCGTTTAGCACATCAAGATGCACGATTATATGTTGATGGTCATATAATTCAAAGAGTGTCCAGTTTTAAATATCTTGGTTGCCATATTACTGAACAACTAGATCCAGATCAAGACATTAAATGTAGAATCGAGATAGCCCGCACGACATTTTTAAAAATGAGGTCATTCTTCTTTAATGATAACTTGGAACTTCAACTTCGAAAGCGCATGGTTAAATGCTACATTTGGTCAGTCCTCTTATACGGTGTCGAAGCATGGATATTAAAAATATCCACCATTAATCGTCTGGAGGCCTTTGAAATGTGACTGCACAGACGTATACTAAAAATTCCATGGACGGCTATGCTGACAAATGTGGCAGTCCTTAAGATAGCAAATGCTGCTCGCGAACTTCTTGATAACATCAAATGTAGAAAGATGGCCTATTTTGGACATGTAGTAAGGGAGACCGATATAATATTCCTCAACTTATTATGATGGGTAAAATCGAAGGACGCAGAGGAATTGGTAGAAAGCAGGCCTCTTGGTTGAAGAATATCAGGGAGTGGACAGGAATAAAGATAGCTGAGCAACTATTTAGAATAGCTCGATACAGAGACAGTTTCGCCATGTTAATCGCCAACGTCAAGGGGACTTGATAGGGCACGTTAAGAAGAAGAAGATAAAGCCAAGGCCAAGCTCTGGAACAACTTTCGAAAGGCTGGGCTTAGTATAATTATACAATCCCAAATGTAAAAAAATAACTTTGTTCGAAATTTCAACGGAACTGGGTATGCCCAGACAAAAAATAAACGATCTGATCTATTGCATCCAGTTTTCAGCTATAAGTAAGTCCAAGATAGTTGGAAATTAGATTAGCTTTGTCAGAGTATTATGCTTCCTGATGACCAATTGCCTTACATTTTTTATAGTATATTTTCATTTTATATAGAGTAGGCATATTTTTTAAATGTGTGATAAATATTTGCCTTCTTATATTTAAGATATGGCTGTATTTGCCTTTAGTTGACTGTACAGATCTTCGCGAACCTTGATCTGATTCAAAACATTCTTCTATCCCTTCCTGTCGAGCGTTCGTCCTCTCTTTACCCTCACTTAAATCTCTCCTAAATTGTCCTGCATATCGTCCAGATATCTGAGCTTAGATTGCTCCCTTTTTTTTCTTCCAATCAGCCTATTGAGCAAAGTTACTTAGCAGGATCACTTTCATGTATTTGCATAACGTCGCCCACCCATCTTTATTTGGCTGTTTATTTTGACGGTTTTTATGACATCTGCATCACCAAAAAGTCTATATAGTTCAAAATTATATTGCCTTCTTCACAGACCCTGTTCGTTAAGTTCTTTTTTTTTGGGTTTCGATTGTATTATCAGTTATCCAGTACATGTATAGTTAAGCTCGTCTTAATCTAGGCAATGCACAACCAGGGATAAATTTATTTCTGTTTACTACCAATTGACAGCTGGGTTATACTAAATGATATAAGTTAGAATATTTAAGTATTTTCTGAATTTATTATTTTTTTCTTCTTATTTTGACAAGAAAAGATTTTTATAGGTCTATTTAAACGAATTTGATATATTTATTAATTATTTTTATAGCTTTGTCAGAGAGTTTGTATAGACTACTATGTAAAGATATTGGACTCTCTATTCCTGCTTTTAATAGTTCTAAATACAGATCCCTATTTTTGTGTTTGTTTATGGGACATTCAAAGAATGTGGAACCAATGGTTCAACAGTCACATTATATGTATTCTGATATTGACAGTTATTTGACAATTCCCAATCAAAAATCTATGATTATTAATCAGGTTCTCTATACTTGGGTTATTACTGGAGTCCATTCTTTAAATTATGAAACTTCTAATAACAAATGTCACCCAAATTTGTCAAAATTAGAATAATTTAAAAAATGACTTCGTTTCATAACGATAAACATTTCTGCATTCTCCCAAAAAGAAAAAAACATTACACCAAACCGTTGCATCCAGCAGCTGGAATACTAGCAAAACTCTACGTAAAGTATAAATCTCTTGTAATCTTGGACTTAAACAGCACCCAGGCGAAGGAACATTATACACATGCTTCAGTAATGAGAGCTGAACTAAGGAGACATGCGAATGGACCGCAAAGCTATATTATACATCCTTTTAGCAAACTGAATGCGTTTATAGAAAGATTTTTCTTTTTACTGTTGCTTCATCGTACTGTATTTGTAGTGTACGCCAAGCTAAAATCACCGAATTTATTTTTATCTTGTTTAGTAAGAGACGCTTTTCATGTTTTTATTATGGCGTGTTTTTTCTTCACAGGATATGCTGATAAAAAAACTAGAGAGGTATGTACTGACCACTGTAGCGTTATCAAACATTATTTAACAACGTACTTCGTGATAGATCTGTATTTAGCTATAGAGGAATACATTCAGATCCTAAGGTTTGAAATAGTTACTTTATTTGTGATGTGTATCAGTTTACTGTCATATATTATCAGATTTAGAAGTATCAGTTACCTTATTAATGACACTTTGGTAGCCTTAAAAATTAACAAAACATTCTGCTTTATTTTATCCCAAACTGCACTCTTAGCTTTCGTTCTGCATATTTTCACAAGCTTGGCATACTGGGTACCGACACATTGGTACAATCACTTTCAAAATCATCCTAATGATTCTTGGATTAGCCAAAAGGGTATAAGCTTTAAAAAATACGATGTATTTACTTATATCGACAGCTATTCCCTCGTTGTTGCTTATTTCATGGGAACTAGTTGTTATGATGTAGTTACTCAACCCATAGAACAACTGATATTTGTTATATACACTTTTACTGGTAGATTGTATATTTTGGTTATTATTGCAAAAGTGTTAATATTTTTTGGATACTCTGATGTATCCGAGAGCGCTTATGAAAATTTATACTACCAACTTACCAACTATATAAGAGCAATGAAGGTACCACCACAGATTAAAAAGACTCTTTTCGAAAGGCTTAATTATACCTATCAGAAGAAATATTTTAACGAACAAGAAATTTTAAGTACGTTTACAGAGCACATTAAATCTGAACTATTTCTTTTTGGAGGTAGAAACTTAATATCCAAAAACCTGTTATTAAAGAATCTGGATAAATATGAATTATCAAAGCTGTTTATTAATATGAAATCACATTTATTTTCACCCGAGGAGATTATTTTGGATTTTGATGACATCCAACCCTACGTTTTCTTTGTTTCCACTGGATCGGTCGCAGGATTCACCCTAGAAGGTATGCAGTTTATCCATTTAGGCGACGGAGATGTTTTCGGATGCATCAGGTTACATCCTTCAGCACAACGATTATATAATCCATTGTATTTATCTTTGGAAACAACGGAAGTTTATTATATCCATTATAAAGAGCTTCGGTGGGCATTACATGATAATCATAGTGTATATAATTATTTTGAGAGTATCAGAAGGGAGAGGCTTAGCAAGTATACGAGATGCACAATTTTCAAAGGCAAAATGGAAACGACTCTGGACCAGTTAAAAAAAGGAGAGTTATTGGAAAAGCGGAGGTTAAAACATGGACCTCCGATGGTTTAATATATTTAGTTTATTATTAATGTTATTGTTTATCACTGTTATTTCTTATATGTTAATGTTACAAAAATTTACAAATATTATATTATTTGAACTGTTTAATTTTTCTTTTGTTTTCGTTTTTCGCCCTTCCTGGCTAATATTTATTTTGAGGTCAGCGATTATTACGGCAAATTCATGCCTGCCATAATCTTTAGGAATTAGAATTGGAGTAAAATAGCTCTCGTAAACAATTACAAAAAGTATACAAAATATACATCACCTATTGACAATCAATGGTAACGTGATAGAACAAGTAGAAAAACATCAGTACTTGTGAACTTTGATCAATGAAACCAATGATCATACTGCAGAAATAAACAGGCGAATAGAGATTGCCAGATCAGCCAGAAAAAAGAACATGATATCGCTGATAAATACAGGGTGAGTCATGGGGAACTTTACATATTTCTACCATATGTGGAGTACCTCAGGGAGCATGTCATGTGGCCACTAAAAAATGTCAACTCCTCTTCTTTATTAATTAACAGGGTGATTTGTGTAATTGACCATTTATTTCATTTTACTGTAGTGTTTACACGGCTCATTTGATTTTTTTAATTTTTGCATGATACAGTACACTACTATCAAGCATTCGACTGGTATTAGCTAAACTAAAAAATTCCAGGACTGGCTTTGGAAAAATTAATTTAGGGGTTCGTATTACATATTACACCCTGTATATATATTTTTTTAAAATGAAATAAGTGATTTTCAAACTACATAAATAGCCAATGAAAACGACATATGCGACAATGTTGTCGCACTTTTATTAAATTTTTAGTGAACGATCAAATCTTACCAAAAATAGAACAACCATAATGAAGTATCAAATTATAAGGTAATTAATTTAAACAAATGTTATAAATTTCAAACCTTTTAATTGAAATGATAAACTGAGTCACTGCACAACAAAAAACAGTAACTACTAACAATAACCAAGAACAATTAAAAAAAACTAAAAATATGTACATAGTTATGATAAACCCATAAATTAGATCTGGAAAAGATACAATAATGGTAATAAAATAAAAATAATTCAAAATAGATTTTCGAAATGAAACCCTGCAGCCTCTACAACTACTACCCTCAATTAATTGTTGTCAGATATTAATATTCACTGCGTAAACTAGTTGCTTCAATCGTCCCCAAATATGGTAATCAACGGGATTGAAATCAGGGGATCTTGAAGGCCACGAAATAGGACCTGCACGTCCTATCCACCTGTTGTCATAAACATTATTGAGATATTGTCTCACTGCCAGTAAAAAGTGTGGGGGTACCCCATCATGCTGAAAATACATCCCTCGGATAGCAACGTTCGCGTTGGCAAGCAAATTCGGCAAAATATTTTGTAAAAAGTTCAAATAGACCTGCCCTGTTAAAGGACCATCAACAAAGTGAGAACCTACTAATTGGTTATTTATGACACCAATCCACACGTTAACCGAAAACATTAACTGAGAACGACGTTCTAGAATAGCATGGGGATTTTCTTCTGCCCACACATGTGAATTTCGTAAATTATTTATCTCGTCTCTGGTAAATTGGGCTTCAACTGTAAATAGTGCCCTGTATAGCGTTGGTCGATTATTGTTAATCCATCTACAAAATTCCAACCTATCGATCTCATCTTCAGCATGTAGTCGCTGAACCATTTGAATGTGATATGGGTATAGATTATTTTTTTGTAAGACTCTACTAACTTTTGATTGAGTAACATTGAGTTCTCGACTTACTTGTCTAGTGCTTATTGTAGGGTTCATAGTAACGGCGTCCAAAATGTCATCTTCCTGCGCTTCATCTACATGTCGCTCTGTTGTTCCACTAGGAAAAGTGCCATTTTCTCGCAAATAATTAAAAACTGACCCAAATGTTGGATGACTGGGAGTTCGACGATTAGGAAATCTCCTGCGATATTCTCTACTAGCAGCCCTACCATTCCCATTACAGAATCCATAAACAAATATTATGTCTGCATATTCTGTGGTCGAAAACTGATGTGGCATTTTGAACGAAAGTAACAAAAGCTCTACCAAAACTAACACAATGTACTTAACGTAGATATGACAGAAAAAATATGTATTCTTGTACACATAAATAACAATTGATAATGACAATAATGACAATGGGTATAAAATATCAAGAAACGTCAAACGGTCAACGCCAATCTTCATTTTAAACTTTTTTAGATTTATTTTTATTTAGTACAGTTGATGCAATGTATTATTATTTGACATAAAATTTTAATCATTTACAATCAACAAAAACTAACACATACAAGAGGTTTGACTTTTTAATCAATTTAATTTATTATTTATCGAAAATAATGCCCCAATACGATCTATGAGTAAAAATTTAAAATTGAAAAACAATTGATTCTATCGTAGAGATAATACAAAGTGGCAGTAAAGATGTTAATTTTCTACGTAATAGATTATGTTGTAGGAACTCATTTTAATTAAAATGTTTGAAATTTATAACATTTGTTTAAATTAATACCTTATAATTTGATACTTCATTATGGTTGTTCTATTTTTGGTAAGATTTGATCGTTCACTAAAAATTTAATAAAAGTGCGACAACATTGTCGCATATGTCGTTTTCATTGGCTATTTATGTAGTTTGAAAATCACTTATTGCATCTTGAAGAAAAAAATATACAGGGTGTAATATTTAATATCAATCCCTAAATTAATTTTTCCAAAGCCAGTCCTGGAATTTTTTAGTTTAGCTAATACCAGTCGAATGCTTGATAGTAGTGTACTGTATCATGCAAAAATTAAAAAAAATAAAATGAGCCGTATAAACACTACAGTAAAATGAAATAAATGGTCAATTACACAAATCACCGTGTTAATTAATAAAGAAGAGGAGTTGAAATTTTTTAGTGGCCACATGATATGCTCCCTGAGGGACTCTACATATGGTAGAAGTATGTAAAGTTCCTCATGACTCACCCTGTATACATGCTCCAACAGAAGAAAAAGGAGAAGAAGTAAGAGATGAATTTTATGAAGAGTTAGAGTCATTGTCTGAAGAAATGCCCAGACAAGATATTAAAATTATTAAAGGCGACGCGAAAGCAAAGGTCAGAAGAGAAGATGCATAATATGTATAAGAACATTACAGGGGTGAAAGTAAACATATCAATACAAACGATAATGGCAAAAGATTGATTACATTCGCAATTGAAATGAAACTAATCAAATAGACAACATTTTAACACAAGAGACATTTGACAATTCAATAACAAATGTGAAAACGTGCAGAGGAGCTGACGTAGACTCAGATATGTTTTTGGTTAGAATTAATATGAGAGAAGCAATAATTAAAAAGTATATATGGAAAAAGAAAGTGCAACGTAAAAACTGCGTGTTTTGAAAAACTGCGAAAATTTCAGGTAGTGCAGGATTATTAACACTATCACTGCTCAGCGCATTTTCATGAAAATCATCCGCTGTGCTGACTAGTATTTTTTAAAAATATTTATGAATAAATAAAGAACATATTAAATAAAGGGTATTTTACATAAATCTGTAATATTTTATTCAAAAAGAAGAAAAGACTCGGATTCGAGTCGTGAGCATATTCCTTATATTTTCTTTATTTGCGCTAAGTGACTCGGATGTGAGTCGTTGATATAAATATTGAAAAAAAATAATTTACAATAATTTTTTATTAAATCAAATGAAAAATATTATAACAAATCGAGACAGAAGGAAAAAACAAATTTTCATTTCCTAGCAACTGGTTTATAAACACTTACGATGAAAACTTTCAAAGATGAAATGGTACTTTTTCGTGATGATCATATTACAATGACTTTTATACACTAAAATTAAATAAAAAAAAAACATGAAAAAAGTGAAAAATAATAAAAAATTCCCATAATTTAAATTTATCTCGAAAACAAAATGCGATCTGGAACAAGAGTACAGAAAATGTTGTACATATTGTTTGGCTTTCAATAAGCGAAATGAAAATCCTAATATTCAACAGCATTGTGACCAGGTACAATATTTGACTAATATGCAAATTAGTAATTAGAAAGTTAATAACGGCAAAACTAATTTATTCAAAGTGTAGGCACTGTAGGTACCTTCCTATTATAGTCTTTTATTGAAGGATGTAAATTTATTACCCATAATACGTGAAAGTTTTCAAGATATTTATATTTTCAGACTAGAAATTGTTATGGGATATCAGGTAACAATTCAAAGGTCCTTAGAAAATAAATTTTTTATTTAAAGTAATATACTGAAAGTAATCTATCTGTTATTTAAATGGTATTTGCAAAAACAATCTCCTATGCATAAACCAGGTTTTTCGTCACAATTAGCACACTCGTAAATTGTGTTTTTTCTAATTTTATTGATAGAAGATATTCCACATCGTTTCCTTTTTGTTTCTTCCTTTTTGGATTTAGTATCAATTATTTTAGACAAATTTTCGTGTGCAAAATTGCGTTCTTTATTTTTATTTGTTTTATAGAGTAATTGGCGAATGACGATTCTAGACGTAAATCTGAGGGGGAATTTTGTTCCAGAATATTTATTATATAGAAAAAGGCGTCAAGTAACATTAACTGGAAAAAGCATTTGATCTTGTTTATATATACCTGCCATGTACTGGTTATATTTTAATATTGGTAATACTCTGGCAATATTCCATCCTCCCCTGGTTGTCTGTTCAGTCAAAGTATTTGTAAATTCAGAAGATATATACCACCACATCTATTTTGTCATGCCATTTGCCAATCATTATTCCATTACAATATTGTACTTCGGTTTCTCCTTTGGATAGTTTAGTATTGGTTGCTTCTGATGGGTTTCTAATTCGACTCTACTGTCCAGTCCAAAATGTGTTTTGGGAACACATTTCAGGTTAAATGATGGATCTGTTTTAGTAATCCTTTAATTTTGACATGCGTATGTTACCAGTATGGAAAATTAATCCAATAAACATCAAAATTTCTGGTATGGAAAGCGGTTTATATCTAGAAATCCGGCTATGTTGCCGAGCACCAACTTAGGACAAAAATGTTTGTTCAGCATAAT